CCTTCTGCTTCCAGCCAGAGGGGAGCCCCGCTGCCGGCAGCAGCTAAGTGGCGGGTATTGACTTCCCCTGGTCTGGCAAATTCCCTGGTTCATGACCAGTCAGGTGCTGAAGGTGCAGGACCAAGGACATTCAACCTGTATTAGCAGAAGGGATCCACCTGCATTCAGTTTGGCTGCTTCATGGGTTGGACTCCAGAAGTGACTCAACTTTCCTGATGCTCGTGGCACGGATCTACTTTCTTTGGCGGAAGGAGCGTGCACGCGCGCTGTGTTCTTCCATGTGACCCTGCTGCCTGCAAAGCCTGCCTGGCCCAAGCCGCACAGTATTTAAGGGCCAGCTCGTCACAGCGGCGGTTCTGGCCCCCCTGTGACCGCTTCGCTGCACATGGAGACACCTCGCGGATTACAGAGACCAGCTCACCGTCTTCATCCACCTCGTCTATCATCTCCTGCAGCTCCTCTGGGGTCTGGGTCTGCCCCAGCATTCTCATCACCTTGCCCAGCTCCTTCGTGCTGATGCATCCATCCTCGGCACCCAGGACGAAGATGTCAAAGGCCGCCTTGAATTCTGGAGAGGACAGGGGGAAATGGAGGGGTTTGCCCTTTTGACAAGAGTCAGCCCGCAGGAAATCAGGGGAGTCCTCATTGCTGCGGGGGTCCCCAAATGAACATGTTTCAGAGCTGCATCTCCAGCCTTTTTTAGGTGCATCCATGAATGTCAAACTTAGTGTCCTCCAGCTTCCCTGAACTGCTGTGACTTCGGTCATCCTGCTGGGGTCAGCTCCCCTCAGCACCCCACTTAGCACAGTCTGACCCAGCCCCAGGCAATACCTGAGCAAATCGCAAGGGGCCACGAGGGAGTCTTTGTTGCAGAGTGTGAAGTAGAGCTGGAGAGCCCAGAGGAGACCGAGCTTAAGGGCTCAAAGCTGGGACAAGTACCCACAAGCTCCAGAGGCCACTCAAGACACTCTGCTGCCCAAAGCATCCATGGGCTGCCCCACGTCCTGCCACTGACCAGTCTATGGGGTGTGAATTGTAGCGCACACTAATGTGCTGCCCTCTCTAGACCTCTGGCATGAACTAACGGGGACCTAGGGCATGTTAACGTACTCCAGTCCATTGGCTGGGAACGGTGAACCGCAGCCTCTGGGAGCTACGAGCAGCCGTACCTGGGGACGCTGAGGCAAATAAAGCGTCTGGTGCCCCCCCCCCCTCGGCTCTTAGTTCGTTCCAGCAGGCTCTAGGTGGATCCAGGAGAGCTCTATCTGTTAGAGAGCTTGGCAGGTCACACCCCTGTAACCAGTCTCTAGGACCATGTAGACAAACATGAGCAATTTTAAAAAACAAACATTTCTCCCAGAAATCTGCCCCTCAAGGCAGCTGCCTCTTTGACCTACAGCTAAACCAGCCCCAGGGTCTAACGAGGGTTGCCAGGTGTCCGGTGTTCACCCAGACAGTCTGGTATTTTCGCTTCCTGCCCGGTAAAAAAATTCAGAGAATACCAGACACCTGAGATGTCCGGTATTCTCTGAATTTTTCCCCGGCCAGGAGGCGAAAATGCCAGGCATCTGGCAACCCTACAAACATTCAGGGCCCAGCCTCCCTTCCTTCCTAAGCACCCGCCCTCCAACCCCCCCAGCCCCCATGCTTCCCTGGTTCCCCAAGGCTGCCAGCACAAAGTGGCTGCTGGCCAAAAGACCTAGGGGAAGCAATGCTTCCCAGGGCTGGCACATGTGCGGGACCGACCCTGGGGCGCAGGCCCTCCCCCGGTGCACACGGCGCATGCGCTGCCCGACCCGGCCACCGCTGGTGGAACGCAGCGCCTGGCTGGGCAGGGCCCGTGGCCGTGGGGGGAAGAGCGCTGCTGGCCGGCACTGCAGGGCTGCGGGGCCTGGTGCCTGATGGCAGCTATAAGGGCCCCTCAGTCTGGTCCTGATGCCTCCCTTGGGTCTTAGTGCTCAACCGCTCCCCTGTTCCTATCCCTGCACTCACTCTTAAAGGGGACCTGCTGTTTTAATGCTGTTTTAGTTTGTGGGGTTTTTTTTTTTGCTTAATAAGTCTTGGAGTCCTTTTTTTTTCTCAACAACTTTCGTCTCCCCCCCCCTTTTTTTCCTTCAACAGAATTTTTTCTGGGTGTTTTTTTGGGGAGGGGGATGTTCGGTATTTTTGTTTCAATCATCTGGCAACCCTAGGTCTAACTCACCCACCACCAAACTTTCCAAGCACCTTAGCTCTACAGAATTGGGCTGGAACTCTCACAAGAACGAGCTTTGTAACAGGATTTGGGGGACTCCCGCCTTTATTATTATACAAGACTTTTGGCACATAACTGCCCAAAGGCCCCTGTTCAGAGCCACACTCCATTGGTTTTCCAAGTGGGTACACTAGAAAAAGCCTGAAATCGCAGGCCACACGCTGGTTAGCAAGACCTGACAAATTATTCATAGGTATATTATGACCCTATGTCAGATGGGGTGCACATTAGGGATATAAAGGGTTAACTGGTTAACCGGTGTGGGACTCAGCTGGGCCTGGCCGGAGCAGCCCCCACATGCAGTGCAGTGTGGCAGGCTTGGCCTAGCCTGGCCTGGGCAGAGCAGCCCAGTTAGACCCGTCGCGCAGAGGGTAGGGGGGGCACCTTGCCCAGCCCAGCTGGAGCAGCCCGTGGCACAGCAGGTCGGGCCAAGCTAGACTAGCCTCCTGCCTGCATCCCCACCATAGGTAGGGGGATGCTCCAACCCGGCTGGGCCCCCTGTGCTGCAGGCGGGGCCGCTCCAGCCCAGCCAAACTGAAGTGTCCCCCCTCCTGCTGCAGTTCACCGGTTAACCCAGTACACAGCAAACTACACTGTTTGGAAAGGGGTACGCCGTCTAAAATGTGTGAGAACCACTGCGCCAGATGTCGGTCTGGCACACGCACAAATCGTGCGCTTGTCCCAAAGAGCATGGAGACCACAAATAGCGTGAAACATCCCTGTAGCAGCTCCACGGCCCGCCTCTTAGCCCTTGACCTAGAGCGTGAGGACCAGAAGTCATTCCCTTTGCTTTGTACTTTGGCAGCGGGAGGGCGGCTTTTCACTTGTGACAGCCCCTGAGCAGTTCTGTTTGAACCAGAGGCTAAGGGGGGGACTGACTGAAGACACACCTACCGTTTTTCTGCTCTTCTGTCAACTGCTCAACCTGTGATGAAAAGAGAAAGAAATTCACTTTTATTAAACTGAATCATGATCGTTACTTGATAATATCACTTATACGGCGCACTATTCAAACCGCTTTACAACCCTTAACTAAAACTCACAGCAGTCCTTCTTGTGGAGCAAGGGGGTCGACTGACTGAAGACACACCTACCGTTTTTCTGCTCTTCTGTCAACTGCTCAACCTGTGATGAAAAGAGAAAGAAATTCACTTTTATTAAACTGAATCATGATCGTTACTTGATAATATCACTTATACGGCGCACTATTCAAACCGCTTTACAACCCTTAACTAAAACTCACAGCAGTCCTTCTTGTGGAGCAAGGGGGTCTTTTACCCAAATAATTTTGACACCCTCTCCCCTTTTTTGGTATATGGCATTATTATGCTCATTTTAAAAACATACTTGCCACTCTTCTGCAGTTAACATTATGTTTAACCAGAATCTGAGTCTCAGGCATGTGGCATGATTGGTTTTTAGACAGTCCAGGCAGGATTTCAATATGCAAAGTAGGAGAACTAAAGGGGAGAAGTCTCTGTTGCACCTGAAAAGCTACTGTGTGGTGGTTCTCCATATGGCTGATGTAGATGTAGAGCAACTTTAATTTTACAATTAGCGTAAGCTAGATAATTGTGTCAGGAAAGTAGCAGAATGCATCACATTGCCACCGCTGTTGTATTTGGGAATCTGGTACTGAGTTATTAAATGCTCCATAGTCTGTCCTGGGTAACCACAGCCGCACACCAGAGAGTTTTTAATTTTCCATTTACGCATCCAGGATCTGCCTCTGCCGTGGTTGGTGTGGATGCGGTTTAAGGTTGCCCATAAGCTGGGCAGAAGACCGGGACCTTCTGCATTTGGTCTTTCACAAAATGTTTGTTTGTGACACCTTGTGAACTCCGTTCAGCTTTCCACGCTTCATCAGGATCGAAGTCACATTGTCGGAGGGGAAGCACATGGGTCCGAAAGGGCTTGCGCCACTTCAAGCAGTGGGGAGGGATGTTGTTGAGGTCTTGGTGGATGGGGAGATGCTACGTTTCCTCAGTTCACTAGACTCCCTTGAGGGCTGTGGCATCGCAGCGAATGGATGGTTGTGCGACAGCACGGGGAGCCATGGTGTTGGGAGTGACTTATGGGTTCCAGTGACGCACTGAATTACAGTATTCCAGTATCGAGAAGTCAACGGTGGCCATTTCTGGACCGCACCAGCCCACAGTACTCGGCTATGGAGTAGACTGGCTTGTGCTTGCCAGTTTATGGCCCAAGGATGGTCTAATGGGGCATCAGAGGGTTGGGCTTCATGCAGAAATCACTGGGTGTGAGGGTCTGTGGCCTGTGCTATGCAGGAGATCAGTGGCTGTCAAAGTGTGGTCCGCAATACACAACCGTCTTGCAGGAGGGCCACGGGCTCAGGGTGAGGCGCTCCCCCCTGCAATGCGGAGCCTGTTCTAGCCTCACATCTCTCCCTTCCCTCTGCTGTGGAATTGGTCCCTTAAAGTATCATGGGAACATGTTAAGTGTCCTGGTTTGACTGCGTTGCATTGATTATCCACAGAACAGAGGGACTTCCTGTTCTTCCCAGTTTCTGTTATAGTCCTAAATCACTGGTGCTTGACAAGTGGAGGTAATAGAGTCTGACGATGAATTAAATAAGGGTAACTATATTAAATTGCGTGACTATAGTTTAATGTGAAAAATCTTATTGTAAAATTCACCCTGACTAAGTAGGCTTTGTGCTCTGTTGGGAATGGACACCTGGCTCTATGGACAGGGTAGAGGTCAGCTCCTCAGCCCTTCCACCAGGGCCGGCCCGAGCCATCAGTGCGCCCCGGGCTCCAGGAGCACAGCGCCACCCCCGGGAGTGCGACGCATGTGTGGCCCTGTCCCCCGGGGTGCGGCACCCCCAGGCTCCCAGTGCATGCGTGGCCCCACCCCTGGGTGCCCAGGGTACGCGGCGCATGTGTGGCCTCTCTCCTGGGCACCCGGCGCATGTGTGGCCCCGCCCCCGCCCACCCCAGCAGCCCTGTGCGGCGCCCCCTACAATGGGGTGCCCCGGGCGGTAGCCCAGTCAGCCCTTAGCTTGGGCCGGCTGTGCCTTCCACAGTCTATTAAAGTCCACAGGTAATCCCAGAACCATCCAGTCCCCAAACTCTATGCACCCATGGCCTTAGCAGGTTGGAGGAGCACCCTGCTTTGCCGTATATAGGGGTAGTGGCATTCCCTGCACCCCAGCCATTTGTAAAGGAACTTCAGGGGGAGCCAAGTTAGCCTGTACAGGATCAACTTAAAAAACAACAAATGGTCTGGTAGCACTTTAAAGACTAGCAAACCATGTAAAGGAGTTCATCCAGTCGAGTACTGAATTCATACTGGACCGTAAGATCATTTCCGTCTCCTTCCCTGGTTATCAAGAGCAATCCAATAGCGGGGGCTTTGTGTAAATTGGAATTAATAAGATGTGTTTACAGGAACAACACATAGGATTGGGTAGCTGAGTCGTGTGCTAGTGGTCTGGTCCAGTGATTCCCAACCAGGGAGTACTCAGAGGTGTCCCGGGGTGTAGTCAACTCACCTAGAATAGTGATAGAGATGTAGCCGTGTTAGTCTGGTGTAGCTGAAACAAAAAACAGGACTGTGTAGCATTTTAAAGACTAACAAGATGGTTTATTAGGTGATGAGTTTTCGTGGGCCACATAGTCCTACATAGTCCTGGTTTTTGTTTCAACTCACCTAGATGAGTGTTTCTCAACCTGGGGGCTGCAGCCCCCAGACGGGTCATGGGATGGGCTTAGGGGATCACATGTTCAAGGCCAGCATTGGAGGGTGGCGAGCAGGGATCTGCCGTGAAGCTACATTACATGCTTCAGCCCCTGGTACCAGGGCTACGGCTTCAGACCAGGCTCAAAAGTGGAAAACAGGTTCAAGTATCGCACTGAACCGTAGGTACATGAGTCACATTCCCATCCAGGCCTGGACTAATTCCATGGTAAAAACAAGAAAGGCGGCAATTTACCAGGAGCCATGTGCTGTGACATTGTGGGTATTTTTGTGTCTTATTTCACAAGCCAGTAATTTTTACCTGAGGTGAAACGTGGGGCCTGCCAGACAAATCACCCTCTTGAAAGGGACCCAGGAATCTGGGAAGCAGGGGCGGATATAGGGCAGGGAGAACGGGGCGGCCGCCCCGGGCCCCGCGCTTCAAAAAGCCCCTCGCATGCGCCGTGGCGCCACCGCGCATGCGCATGGCGTCACTGCGCATGCACCGTGGCAAAGGGGGCCCCGCGAAATTATGCTGCCCGGGGCCCCGCAAAACGGTCATCTGCCCCTGCTGGGAAGGCTGAGATCCACTGGCCTGGACAATGCTAGCCCTTCCCCTCTTATCTGAACCTGCTTCCCCCGGCAGGTCAGTCCTTCCTGATGGCAATGCTTCATGTCACACCACACACTGCCACCTCCTATTTCCCCGGCCGGTAGAATACCCCGGCCCTTTCAGCACCTTCCCTGTTCCTTTCTTCCAGCAGCGACTTCTCGTCGCCACCCACGCTCCTCTGTCCCGAGGCTGCTGTATTGTGACGCCTACAGGGTTCTGCCTTTGGTCCTGCTATTTCCCTACCCCTTTTCTGAAACCAGTCTATGTAAATGGGACCCAAATCTGCAACCACCTCTCCAGCCCATAACATCACGCCAGTGAGGCTATGTCTACACTGCGGGTTTTTTTGCGGCTGAGGATATGCAAATGGCATGCTCATTTGCATATCTTCTTCTGATTCTTTTTGGGGAAGAGGCTTTGCCATTTGTCAGAAAAAAAAACCTTTTTCGCAAGATCCCTTGTGCCTCAAAAATTGCAGTCTACAGGATCTTGCGAAAAAGGGTTTTTTTCCGACAAACTGCCCTGTCAACACGGGGCTTTTTAGCGTCAAAACCTCTTCCGCAAAAAGAATCGGAAGAAGATATGCAAATGAGCACACCATTTACATATCTTCTTCTGCAAAAAAACCACCCCGCAATGTAGACAGCCTGAGTGATCCATTGTCATTACAAGCAGCTTCCCCAGCATGCAAACCGTGTTGCCAATACACTCTCTTTCTGAGCTGCCTCACCATCTGTATTCCAGTCCTGGGCCCTGACACGGTGTTATCAATTTACTCTGGAACGTCAACACCTTGTGTGTAATCCCAGCCTTGGGCCTTTGTTGATAAGAGCCTTGTGAATTTCTGCTAGAAAACTGCTAAGCCTGTGGTGGGGGCAGAGGTCAAAATGCCCAGCATTTTGTACTGGGCCGTGTTGATTTTTTAACCAACCATACATGCAGAGGACAGACCAGGAAAGCTGATCCGTCCATATCAGATGCAGACAACAATAGCAGCAGGATCCTTCTTCGGCATAGCGTCACGAAATCTGAACCCCTGTGTCCAGCCACCCATGATGGGAGGCAGGCAGCTGCAGACTGCTCTTTTATTGTTTTGGCAGTAAAATAGGATAGTTGGGGGCTGCGAAGGTCTGAGCTATACCCGGTAAATAAACACCTCTTGCCACTTTCGTGCCTTCCATGTAACTCAACTCTTTTGGCATGTCAGCTATTTATAAGCCTCAGTGATTGAGGTGCTGGTGATAAAGATAAACCTTCTGATTGTTCCCAGGAACTGAATGGCATTGGTATTTATCCTTGGGCCCTTTTATCTGGACACTTGTCCTTGGCACTGTTCTTAGCCTGGTTCACTGGAGTCTGAAAGTGTTACCAAAATAGCTCTGCATTGATATAACCTTATCTAGACATGAGCAGGCAAGATGAAAAGCCATTGGGCTCTGTTGGTGCATTTCGAAAAATTGAAAGGAAGGAAGACAATGTTTTATTCCAATGTGCCGCCAACTTGCACAAACCACAAAGGGCCAATTCCTTTGCATCAAGCTACATCTGTCTAACTTGTGCCTCCCTTCCTGTGCATAAATGTATAGGTATAAGAATGTACTGTACCAATGGGTCATCAATCATGGTAGCAAGATAAATTCATCGCAAGGCTCTGGCAATAACAACATAAGCCATGGGATGAAATTAAAATGGCGTACGATCATGCCCAAGACTCCGCTGTCTATTTGTGGCCTTTTTCTTTTATTTTCTATATCCTCTTGTTTTGGTGTTGACGTCTTTCATTACTGCCTCCGTGCATAAATGCTGAAAATGCTGCCAGGATACATAAGCAGTGCCAAGGTTATTCCTCTTTTGGCTTTATTCTTTATTCACTGCTTCCATCTGAAATTGTGCTGGTGAGGATGAATCAGCTTGGCCGTGCTGTAGTTACTCTGTTCTTCTGGTTTAATATTTGTTGCAGTACATATATTTAGGATTTTTTAATGGAATGGTCCAAGGAAATATCCTGTACCATATACTGCACTTTAGAAGGTGTCTGCCTCACATGTCTGCCCCATCCCAATTATTTTGCCTTGGTGAAATAATTACAGTGCAAATGCCGTTGTGTGAATGTACTCACAACAGGAATCCCTTGTCAGTTATATATGTTAGAGTTTTTTACTCGATCTCATCAACATATTCATCAGATCATATTGATCAGAGGAAGTGGGTCTGGCCCACGAAAGCTCATCACCTAATAAACCATCTTGTTAGTCTTTAAAGTGCTACATAGTCCTGTATTTTGTTTCATCAACACAGTATCTGAATGTGCCCCAGGGGGGAAACAATGGCACAGCAAAATCTCTACTGGACTTCCTGGAGTCTTCTAACTTGGAGTAAGAAGTTTGTTGGTTATTAGGAATGGAATTTTTTGTATTTGTGATTCTTTTTTGAGCTAAACTCATCCCTAGTCTAAAGTCATTGAAATCCATGGTGTTAGATTAGGGATTAATTAGGTCTGCTGCATTTTAGGCCTTCATGGGGTTCAGCAGGTTGAGAGGTACGAAACAGGTGGAAAATTGTCCATGGGAAACCTTCCTTTAACCATCTAATTCTTGACTCTAATTCTTTCTTTGTGCTAGAGAATGCATTCCAGCTGCCTGCCTGACAGATCCATTTGGCTAATTGTTAGCATTGCTGGCATTCAAAATGCTTTAAACTTGCTTCGTAACAATGTGGGTGATGCCTCTAAACATTTTGGAACATAAGTTTAATTAAACATCCAATTGCAGAGAAACAAAAGTTGTTTCCTTCTAGAGATCACTTTTTTGGTGTCATTGTTTTTGAAGACTTGGGCTTTTGGCTCACTGCACCTAAGAGAACTGCAGAATGGAATCCCAGCTCAATGCAGGTTTTAAATACTGAGGTTAGTCTAATATGAAAGACAACTGGTTTTGTTGCCATGTGTCAACTATCCCTCTTCCTTTAGGACATCTTGAAATGTTGAAAGCAATATCCACATCTGATGTATCTTTGTGCTTTTGTTAACTATCTACAACACCATATATAACCCCGTAACCACCAACATAAGGTACAGAACATGGTAACCAAAAATTCAATGTAAAGGGATTCATGCAATACAGATTCCAGAAAAATGTCACTCTTATGTTCTTCTGCTGGTTCAAGGTACAAGCTAATGCTGCACCTTCATTGGGAGGAAGACAAAATGGTTTGGGCTTATACAGGACACTTGATATGCAATAATTCAAGGCAAAACTGCTTTAGAAAGCACAACCAGCATGAGTCACATTATAATTTTTTGCCGTGTAGATATTAAGAACAAGGAAACAGAAATTGCAAATCAGATCACTTGCTTCCTAAGTCTTTATCAAATACATTTTGCAGAAAAACATTCACCTGGGGAAAAAACTTGGAAATGGCAGAATTGTAATACGTGAACATAAAAATGCTGCGGTTTCAGCTTCTGCAAATTCTCTTCCCCATTGAAACCATTGCTCTGTCAAGTTCTGGATAAAGCAGTAGCCATACCCAATACGTCAGTAGATTTTTCAAAATATACTAAAAAGTACACTTACACGCCATCTCTCAAAGTACAGAATCAGGGAAAGCCTGGATACGAATAATTGAGCTGTTTATTTTTAGAAGAATCTGCTTACAAGAAGAACAGTCATATTTAGAATTGCCATTGCATGAAAAGTTCTATCTATGTTCTGAACTAGAAGGTGCGTTACTTCAGCTACCATTCCTAAGTGCATTTCATTGTTCCATTAAGGGCTCACAGATCATCATTGCGGTGCCTTAGGGAGGCTTTCGGAGAGCAGCAAAAACGCTTTGCATTTCATTGTTCCATTAAGGGCTCATAGATCTTCATTGCCGTGCCTTAGGGCAGCTTTCGGAGAGCAGCAAAAACGCTATGAAACGTCTTTCTAATACAACAAAGGTACCCACAGATCAAGGTAAGCTTAAGGAGATTACTTACTGCTGCCTTGTAAATATCATCCATGGTTAGCTAATTGCTGATCAGGAGCTGGGCAGAGAAGGCAAACAGTACAGAGACAAACTTCAAGTCTCTGTCAGCTGTCCCCTCCTTCTATCCCTGCTAATATAGCAAGGTGTCAGCCCCTAAATGTGTCACTCAGGGGCTGCTGCTCACCACATCAGAAACCTATTGTATGTCTATCAAAGATGCCCACTCCAAGTGGGAATTCCTCACCCCTGGGGGGAGGGGAAGGACGGGACACTATGCAAGGCCCGCAGCTGGCATTCCAAGGGCCCAATCCAGTTCTCGGAGTAAGTGGGATTAAAGCAGCCAAGTAAACACTGGCAAGTATTCGCGTCAGACTGCAGGTCTGATCCTCTGGAATTGGCTGGCAAACCTCCCTGTGAAGCCAGTGAGAACAGCTGGGTATCCTGGAACTAAATACAGTATTGGGAATGTTTGGGTAGCTAGGCCCTTTCTTTATAAGATGCTAGACCAGCGATGGGCACAGGCCCATATGCAGGGATTTCCGGGGGAGGGTAAGCTGCGGGAGGGGCTGGTGGCTGTCACCCTCCGCCCCTCCTCGTGGGCCAGCCCCAACCCCTATGGCCCAGCCCTGCCCCCATCCTCACTCCTGTGTGAGAAAGGGGGGAATCAGCCCCAGCATTCCCCAGCTGGCTGGAGCATGGGGGAAGGAGGCTGAGGCAAAGTGCCGCCCCTGCCTTCCGTAGGTCGGCTGGAATCGGCCTGTGGCGGACCATAAAGGACTGTGTGGAGGGGTGTTCGCACCCTTCTTACAGACCCCGCCCCCCGCATATGGGCCTGGGGAAAATACTGACCCGTAAGCCAGATCCAGTTTGCCAGAGATACCCCTGGCAGGCTGCCACCACTATATTTACCTGCGCTGCTGAAGGTACGGGTGATCACAGCTCCTGTTGGCTGCAGATCCACGTTCCCAGCCAATGGAAACTGCGGGAAGTCGTGTCCAACGAGAGCTGCAATTGCAGGTACCTGTGGAGGTGCAGGTAAATACAGCGCAGTGGCCCTCCTGGAGCTAACCTGGCAAACCACCACCTTCTATTGCCCATCACTGGGCTAGACCCAAACCCCGGATCCAAATCCACCCAATTCTGGAATAATTTGGATCAGAATCACTGCACAGCTATCAGAGACGTAATACAATGGGACTATGAACTCTGCCACTAACTCCCTGGGTGACCTTGGGTAAGTCACTTAACCTCTTAGTGCCTCAGTTTCTTTGCTGAATGAGGATATTTAATGCCTTGCCACCTTTGTAAACTACTTTGAGATGTCAAAGAAAAGGCTGTTAAGGACCATTATGATTTTATTGTATTGTAAATTCTAAGTTACCCTGTTGATGCTCGTGACTACACTCCTGTCATCTGTGCCCACAAAAGCTCATGATACCATCTACATATTTTGTTAGTCTTTAAAGTGTGACCAGAACGCTAGTGTGATGGATTTCCCCTGAATTTAACCCAGTACAGGATGTCAAAGAAAAGGCTGTTAAGGACCATTATGATTTTATTGTATTGTAAATTCTAAGTTACCCTGTTGATGCTCGTGACTACACTCCTGTCATCTGTGCCCACAAAAGCTCATGATACCATCTACATATTTTGTTAGTCTTTAAAGTGTGACCAGAACGCTAGTGTGATGGATTTCCCCTGAATTTAACCCAGTACAGCTGAAAGCAGAAATAAGCTTATTATTATTAATTTTACTATTTGTATAAATAAATACATGAAAAATGTTTGGCACATTGGTGAGGATCTTAATCTACAAATGAATCTGTGGGGAGGACTTTTTTCTTCAGGAATCCAGAGCTCCCTCTTGTGTCCAAATGAAATGCAGACAGCAAGAAAAAGTAGCAAAAAAGTCAGCAAAATGGGATGCCAGTGTATTTTTTGGACTGTTTTACAAGTTAGCCTATATATCAAAAGCAGTGGCTGTCTCTCCTGTGTTGAGGAAAGGGATGTTCTGTAGGGGAGCAGATAGCTCCAAGGACCGGTAACATGGTGTAAAGCTCATGTTCCAATAGTCATTAATGGTCTGAATTTCAGAGATGCACATTAATTGCCAGTTTGGAGCTCTCTGCACCTCTTGAAAATGAAGCTGAAGATGATACAGAAGGTGTGAAATGAGTCAGCTGATCTTTTTCCAGTTCCCTTTGGACAGGTGTCCATCCTGGGTCTGGTCAAAAAGTGGGAAAATGATTTTGTGAACAGTTTTCAAATTTTTTGTTTTCTGTTTTGGTGAACCAGTTTTCTGCTTTTTTTTCCCTCAAAAATAATGTGATATTTACTGCAAATGAGTATTTTTCATTTACTGATAACCTGGTTTTCAGCAAGACAAGATAGTTTCCAGTAACTGAAAACATTTCATACCAAAAAAATTACCAAAAATTTAACCAATAAAGGAACTTTTGGTGAATGCTAACAATAGTTTGCAAAAAAATCACCTTTGGGGGGAGGGGGTAAATTTAGTGCAAAGCATTTTGTACATTTCTAATGCATTCTATAATTAGCATTAATTGGCATTAGGGATATAAAATCCTGTTTAATCAGTGAAACCTGTGGGACGCCTCATAGCATTTGTAGTACCTAATCCAAAGCCCTGGGAAGGTTTTGGCCTTTGACCAAGCCCTCAGAGAAGTGAAACAGCAATTTAATTAGGAGGCACAATGCTTAGCAAGCTGTAACTCATCTGAGTCGATGTGGTTTTGAGAAGACAGAAAGGAAGTTCTGCTCACCCACCCTTGCTATAATCAACACTATGCCTGTCCTCTTGAGAACAAAATCCCTGTTCACTTGTTACTAGTATTTGTCTCATAAGAACGGCCATACTGGGTCCGACTGAAGGGCCATCTTGCCTCGAATCCTGTCTTCTGACAATGGTCAATGCTGGATGCCCCCAAAGGAATGAACAGAACAGGGAATCATCAAGTGATCTATCCTGTCAGCCATTCCCAGCTTCTGATAAATAGAGGCTAGGGACTCCATTGCTACCCATCCTGGCTAAAAACCCATGGATGGACCTAACCTCCATGGATTTATCTAGTTCTCTTTTGAACTCTGTTAAAGTCTTGGTCTTTACAACATCCTCTGGCAAGGAGTTCCACAAGTTGACTGTGTTCTATGAGGAAATACTTCATGTTGTTGTTTTAAACCAGCTGCCTAATAATTTCATCTGATGACCCCTAGTTCTTGTGTTATGGGAACAAGTAAATCACTTTTCCTTATTTACTTTCTGCATGCCAATCATGGTTTTATGGATCTCTATCATATCCCCCCTTAGTCTATTCTGAAAAGTCCTACTCTTGTTAATCTATCCTCATAAAATATGTGTTCCAAACCCATTAATTATTTTTGTTGCCCTTTTCTGAACTTTTCCTAATGCCCAGGTATCGTTTTTGAGTTGAGGCAACCACTTCTGCACTTAGAATTCAAGATGTGGCCATACCATGGATTTATATAAAGGCAATAAGATATTCTCTGTCTTATTCTCTATCCCTTTTTTAATGATTCCGGACATTCTGTATACTTTTTTTTTTTTTGGACTGCTACTGCACATTGAGTGGATATTTCCAGAGAGCTATCCAAGATCTCTTTCTTGAATGGCAATAGCTAATTTAGTCCCCATCATTTTGTACACATAGTGGGGATTATTTTTTCCAACGTGCATTACTTTGCATTTATCAACATTAAAATTCATTTGCCATTCTGTTCCCCAGTCATCTAGTTTTCTCAGATCCTTTTGAAGCTCTTCACAGTCTGCTTTGGACTTACTATCTTGCAGACTTTTGTTTCATCTACAAATTTTGCCATGTCACTATTTACCCTTTTCTCCAGGTCGTTTATGAATGTGTTGAATAGGATTGGTCACAGGATGGACCCCTACTTACCGCTCTACATTCTGAAAACTGACCTTTTATTCCTACCCTTTGTTTCCTATCTTTTAACCAGTTCTCAATCCATGAAAGGACCTTCCCTCTTATCCCATGACAGCTTACTTTACTTAAGAGCCTTTGGTGAGGGACCTTGTCAAAAGCTTTCTGGAAATCAAAGCACACTATTTCCATTGTCCACATGCTTGTTGACCCCTCAAATAATTCTAGTACATTAGTGAGGTATGATTTCCTACCATGTTGACTTTTCCCCGACAAATTATGTTCATCCACGTGTCTGACAATTCTCAACAGAAGAAAAGTGTAGTCACTGTTTATGTGGAATTATACAGAGATAAAAATAGTATGTTCCTCTTAAAATATCTGGGCTGATTAAACTTGCTGATGGGAAAGGCTTGTAAAATGGACTGAAATAATAATAGAGGACAAAACCTATTAGCCAGAAGGACAAGTAACTTCCCTGTCCTGGTGCAAGGACCAGGAGCATGACCTGGTTAGAAGCCTGGTACTAAGTTCCCACCTTGACAGACCACAAGGGGTCAGTGGAAGTCCC